CTTTAAAGGTCATCTAGTTCAACTCCCCTGCAATGAACAGGGACACTCACAGCCCCTCCAGCCTGACTTTGAATGTCTCCGGGGATGGGGAATCCACCATCTCTCTGGACAACCAGTTCCAGTGCCTTGCCATTCTTACTGTAAAAAAATATTTCTTATATTCAGACTAAATTTCCCCTCTTTCAGTTGAAAGTATTTCCCCTTGTACTCTCACTACTGATCCTATTGAAGAGTCTGTTCCCTTTCTTTCTTATAGCCCCTCTTTTAACATGTGCCTAAGTTTAAGCACATACCTTAAAACTTTTGTTGGATCAAGGCTAGCCTCTACTGCTCTACTGCCTAATGATTCAAATTAAGATATAATGTTGGTCAAACTAAATTACATTACGCCATCTGAACTCATTTTAATACAGACTCTGAACTGTGACTTACAAACAACAAAAAGGTATGGCAGATCATAGCATCTGTAAAACAGAGACACAAAATCAGAAAGGTTTCATTTTTTAATAAAAACTTCTCATTCAAGTTGACTGAAATAACAAGGTTTTAAGATTTTTTTTTTATTTCTTTTCTTACAAAAGTTTTTATTTAGTAAAACATAATTTATTCTTAAACTAAAGATTTCAAACTTCATGAAGTATTTTGTATAGAGAGTAATAAAATAAGATGCCTCAACTATGACTTCTTAGATATCATGAAATGAAAAACATGCCAAACCCATTATTTTCTACAAAATTATTTTCAACACCTTTGTGTAATCCCTCAGGATACAGTCAGCTCACTGTACCAGAAGTCTAAAAGATAATGCCATGACATGAAAGTTATTAGATAGTAAATATACTTGTTCAAAGTTATATGTCAACTGTTAGGCATGTGTTTAATATTACATACGTTCTTATGTTCTATGAAATGCCTCATAGTGGGAGGCTGCAGGCATGTTTGAGTGAACAGTGGAGTTCAGACCAGGAACGTACTTTGGTCTGAATCTACCAGTTGTCCATACAGGGCATGAGCTGAACAGACTCACAACACCCCAGATGGATGTCTTTAGGGTGAAACAAAACTGGAGGTATGTGCTAGGAGCACATCTAGTGTACTCCAGCTGCAAACAGATATTCACATCGTGGGACAGGGCTAGAGTCAGCTCAAATTTAAAATATCCCCTGGAATGGTTGTAGATATTAGAGCCCCAAGCCCAAACTGCTTCATTGGCCCAGTACTGCTGGCCACTGACACTTGCTTACACCGACAGAAGTGCTGGACCTTGACATCATCAAAGATGGACTGCTTTCTTAAGAGTTCACTGGAAGTTAGTTAAAAAGTCATGCTAATGACATATTAATGACATCTTAACAACATCTGGATAATGTCTGCATGGGGCCCAATGTACATGAAAATAGAAAACCATCAGTTCCTAGGTTCTGAAAATGAAGATTTCTCTTTTACATTAATGAAAAATAGAATTTAAACTATTATCAAACCAAGTCCTCACTGACCGATCACTTCTCATTTTAGGGATAGGAGCTCACTGAAATTTAGTAGGGTTTATTACTTAGTAGCCTATTAGAAGATGACAACAGCAACAACTGCAGTCAGGGGATATTAACAACCCATCCTGAGACTGCATAAAATTTTTTGTATCCCTTACCAAGGCATAAAGATCAGTTTCTTACCATCATTCCTGAGTTTTCATGCTAGCATAAAAATCGGTAGGCTAACCACCCTTATCAATAAAGCCATTTAAGAGCTGGAAGGAGGCCTTGTGACAGCAATGTTTTAAGAACATATTGAATATAGTGGCTTTCTCTTCTGCTACCAGCAGATGTAGCTGCAGTGCAGAACAAACTACAAACACATCCTCAAGCCTTTTGGCCCTGTGTTCGAGGGTCACATCCCCTGCCCCTCTCGCACCAAGTCTGCCTTGCCCTGGCAGGTGTAGCAGATAGGTGTCTGATAATATAGACTTTTTTTCTTAAAAAGAAAACACAACAACTACACATCGCATTGTAGCAGTCCCATCACTGGGTTTAGTTTTGTCCTTTGCTCACCACCTCTTCCTATGCGGCAGCTATGAAAGGTCTCACAGCAGGCACACTGATTAGCGTCCATTCACACCAGTTCAGCAGTGCACGGTTTCAAACCAGAGTGTGGCTAAAGTGAGCAGGGTTCAAAGGGCACAGAACACATTGTTGGCTGCACTTATCCAAATTTACTGCCCAGCTTTGCCCTTCTCCTTTAGAGTCAAAGCAAGCTGTGGTATGCATGACCTTCAGCAGTTCACATGGGTTGATCAGTCAGAGGTGGAACTGCTCAGTAGGCCAGCTGGCTAGCCAGCCACTCCTATGAGATCTCCGACCCATCACATCTGATTTTCCACTGTGGCTTCTTGTCATGATTTACTCCCTCAGACAGTAGACAGAGATTAGACAGTAAACAACACAGCAGCTTAGTTTCACTAGACTCAGAGCTCTCCTCCACTGTGCGTGAAAGCAGTCCTCTGCTCACTGGGAACATGCCAAGCCATCCACAAGGACAGAGCATGGCAATGGATTAGAGAACACACTGGAATTAATGTACTTTTATGTGTGACAGATGAAACATTTTTGTTTGCTAAATGAAACATCTGTGGTGTTTACAATTAAAATTTTATTATGCCTAACAATATTGAAACACCATATGAGCTGTTGATAATGTTGTTATCATTATTACCAGAAGCTCTTAAACAACTGAAGTCAGTGCCCAGCTGAGAGAGGACAGCATCAGGGGCAGACCACTAATTAACACATCCCAAAGGCAGTTGGTTACTGTTGAAGGCAGTAAGGTGAAGGAACAGGGCAGCAAGCTCTTCTTGTTCAGCTGCCAAAAGTTTAGTTACTAAGATCACAAAAGTTCCAGGCATCAAGATGAACTGAAGTTTCTCTAAGGTCATGTACAAAACAGCACTTTCAGAGACTAACATTTGCTTTAACGTCAGAGCTTTCAAATGTACATACAGTGTGCTTAGCTTGGAATTGTCACTTCAAATTCTTCACAGCTGTGGTATGGGGAACCTGCAATTGTTACTGAGTAACGGAGTTCACAGAATTAAACTGGGCTGAAGAATCAAAATATTTACATTCAGGTGAACCTACAACAGATTTTTCTCAAGTTGTTCAACTGAAATTAAAATGTTCATTTGAAAATGTTGAGACGAACATAAAACCTGCAGTAGCTTTTGTCTAAAAGTTAATGTTTAAAGAAATTTTATTTTACCATAACTCTAGTAAATATTTTCACACAAAATTAAACTTATTTTTGTGACTATGTAACAATTATTAGTTTTAACAAATATATTTTGTATGTCCCTAAAAGTTAGCATTGGAATTGACTGATTGCTAGCATATTATTGCTGTCACAGAAGCAGAGATAAAGAACTTTCAAAACTATTGTGCTTCTCTGAAATGGGAAAACCCTTTCTCAGAATTAAAATATAGCTAGGAATCCAGAACTAATGATGTGCCAGCCAGCTTGTAACACTTACTTAACCTCAGGTGCTCATGAATATGATACTTAATGCACAAAAGTAACATTTTCCATGAGATATAGTATTTCCTCCTGAGTGTTATTTTAAAGCAGCATGCAAAGCGTCAAAAACAATCAAAAATCACTTGTTCTTTAGAATTACATTTCTAGAGTCCCTTTTCTCAGGTCAGAATCTTTCATCTTTAACACACTTCTGCTTTTGTACTTCTAACAATTTTAAACATATATTTAACACATACAGTAAAACAGGATGAAGAAATGCATGGCAGAAACTTACAAATGTAAATTTGCATTTATGCTGTAATGAGTAGTGCCATCACATGATTTTCCTTCTTCCAACTGGAACTTAAATCCATAGCAAAAGCAATAAATATGTCAGTGAAAAGCAGAGGAAGAGGGCGGTTCAAAATTATTTGTAGCCTCAGCCTCTTGACAAAAAACCACTTCCTTCAGTGTCTCCAGTTCTAACCATGCCATGCTGTCAAACAAAAGCACTCTACATAAAGAAACCAATACCAAAAGGTGTTTGCAAGAGCCTCTTAAGTTTGCCCTATCTTCTTTCAACACTAAGGCAACACAGAATATAACAAAGAATGACTTTCTGATGATAAATGGTTAGGTACTTGCTAAAATGCCATGTACTGCTGCTGTGCCCTTATGACATGAGATCCTGCTGTGAGGCTGTGACATTTCCTGTACTTAGCTACCTCAAGCGTGTGTTCTTCTTCCCTGTCATATAGTCTCGGTGAAAGCAGCCTCACAACAAAACCAAGCAGCTGTGTGTCCAGGTCAGCATTTTCTAAGGAAATAAAAATTAAGCTTACTGACAAACTGTTAAAGTAAGTTGCTGACTAGCATCATAGTGTCCTTCAGCAGGACCAGAAGTACTCTGAGTGAAAACAAGAATCAACAGCATGGTGTGAAGTGAATCCTTTTGGCTGATGATGTGAGTAAATTCAGCAGACTACTAGATTGCTGTAGCTCAGCACACAGAGAGTATAAATTGACATGCCTGCTCTTCTTTCTTTGCTCTACTTTCTTTCCTCTACTGCCTAACAAGCAGGACTTGAGTATAAACAAAATGCATTGTAGCTGCATCTTACATCCTGCTTTCCTTTATTGGTTCCTACTGAGAATCAGTACTTTTACTTTCTTTCCTCTACTGCCTAACAAGCAGGACTTGAGTATAAACAAAATGCATTGTAGCTGCATCTTACATCCTGCTTTCCTTTATTGGTTCCTACTGAGAATCAACATTAGAAACTAAAAAATTGGTGCATGCTAGGATCAGTATGGTAACTGTTGAGTCAGGGCCCAAACCACTGATTGAGCACCTGGGGAAAGGACCTGCTCAACTCTGTGAGCACAGATGAAGGCAATTTAGCTATGTGACTGGAACGGATGGAGCCTGGCTGCACCTCTCTTAGACCACATTTAAGGGCTGACTGCCACTGGGGAAGGATCTCTAGTTGGAGATCCCTTCCTTGTGGAGTTTCTGTTGTGAGCCTAGATCTTCAGAGATGGGTGAGCTCTTTTTCTTTTTTAACACCTTTCTATTGCACAAGTCCCTTTATCATCATACCTCTTGTATTACTATTCCATTGTGTTGATGTTTCTGATTGTCACAGGAAACAAATGGCTAACTCACAGGATTCACTAGCAGAGTGGATAGGAAGTGTGAACTTGAATTAAGGTATTAATGAGAATAGTATTAGGGTGGAACGATATATTGCTGCTTTTAGTGTTGGGAGATCACAAAATGTTCTGCTGGAGATAGAAGTAATTTTTCACAGAAAGTAAGGGAAGTCTATTCATTCCTACTCTTTAAAAGGAAGTGGAGTTCTGCCAGCTGCAGGGTCTCTCTTCAGTCACAGCTCATTACTGGGGAAAAGCCAAAACGCTTACATGAACTCCAGTGTTCACACTCAACACAGTGAGATAGTGGAACATGAGAACTTTATTCAAGATAGCCTTTGTGCCTTGGAGCATGCAGATGCTTCCCAAGTTTCTTTGCCTTGATGTGGCGCATCATGGAACACCACTCTGTTACGCTCAAATCCTCTAACTTCTGCCCCTTTGCTCCTTACAGAAATGCACTAGGGGCAGAAAGCTATCTTCACCCCAATTTTTCTTACATCCTCAATGTCCTGATGTAGAAAATAGGACTTAGACAAATAAACATCTATAAAAAGAGGATTTGGGGGTAGCCTTCAATTTAATAAGAGAAGAATGCAGGATTTGCAGCCACTATTTTAATATCTAATGTAGAACACTGACTCTTGAAGAATTTGAAATGTGTGTAAATAAACACAAGCAGGACAGAACTGTTCTTCCCCCTAAACTGTCTCCTCCACAATATCACACTTACAAAAGATGCAAAAATGACTTTTCAGTCTGCACAAGCCTCTGGTTAGTCATTGTATGTGTTGAGAACCAAGGGTACTGCCAGTTGAAGTGGTACAGAATATGATGAATTCTGGAAAAGAAAAAAAAAAAACAAAAAAACAAAAAAAAACAACAACAACAGTATTTGGAGAATCATATTTGCTACTCACGCTGTGAACACCCAGAGCCTTCCAGATGGCGAAACTTAGTAATCCAACTCCACACCATGCATACAGAGAGCCCCATCCTAGGGCACGTAAGGCCAGTGATGAGCCGCTCTCAGGTAGTGCAGCTGTAGCAGTAATACCCTAGGGGGAAAAAAAAAAGACTGATCAAGACAAAGTGAACAATAACTGGAAAAAAGAAAAATAGAAATGAAAGAATTTAACTTTTACTCTAGAAATTTTCTTCCCTTGCCAGTTTATGTGATGTCATAGAAACTCTTGCTATGGATACCAGCAGGCCCAAAGTGCCAAGCAAGTGGGTATGTAAGCTGCTTTCTCACCAGGAACAACTTTCAAGTCTGCCAGTAGCATTTGGGGATTTTTAATATCTGAAGATGCTGAAATAAACTGTTCAATAGGCACAAGAATCTGATAGTTATCCTGCCACTCAAAAGCCGCAAGTGGCTCAAAAACAAGACAGCTGCACTGGAACACAATCCTTCTATAGAATTGATTTTGGTATGATTTTTTCAGGAGTGGTGTGAGTGAGGCATGACCGTTAGCCTATAAGCCTTCATCCAAGCTCCTGTAAAAGTAGATTGGGAAACTAGAGGAACTTATGCATCTTTCAGCTTGATGTAGGATGTAACAGTGACTGGGAGACCAATTTTGAGATGCTGCAACTCTGAAGGAATTCTAGAAGCTGTTTAGGAAAATTTTGAAAATAACAAATAGCAACACTAAGCCTCATTTCCCTGCAGAGTTCACTAAGTGGCAACAAAGATAGCTCTATTCCATTTTCACACTTCCCATTTTCGTCAGAAATAACAGTGGGTGTTTTTTGAGATTCTGCTGCTTGAGTCTTCCATTAGAAGTGTTGCAAAAATACAAAACACTTGGGAAAGTCATCTCAGGCCGAGAGGAGTGGAGTCTCAACCATGACAGACTCCCAGCCACAATGGAAACTTTTTTGTCACAGCACATCAGTATAGGGTGCAGCTATGAAGGGCTCAAACACATAGTGGTTCACATCAGTCAGTTCACACCAAGTGTTTGCTGCTAGCCAGCCATTCTTGGACAGCAATGCCCCCTGCACTGTATTTAGCTGCTGCAGGGCAGCTTCAGTCCCTTTCATTTTCTTTCTTCTTCGATGTAACTAAACACATGTACAGCGTCTATCAGAATGGTATGTGGCCAGTGAAAAAGCATCAGTAGTGCTTGCTTTGGTTTTTTTTTTTTTTCCTCTTGGCTTTGTATTCATCAAAATGTTAAAATGATCTTCGGACAGTGCCCAGTATTAACATTTGTCCTTTGGATATAGTTCTGGGCAGTTACCCAAGGACAAACACCAATGTACAAAGGACACAACTAAAATCCATCTTATTCCTCATAGGTTCTGATTTGGACATCCCAAAGTGGAAGCTGTTAAGTGTTCACTATGTGTATATACACATAGATACACAGACACAAAGCATAGCTCTCTAACCACACTATTAAATAGAGTTCTACTATTTCCTTCCTGCAGCTAATGAACTTTTCTAACTCTTTCAGTAGAGATTGTATTGAGTAGATTTAAAGATGCTGATGATTTCTGACATTTTCCTGCTTCAACAGTCTACACGTATACAGCATGTAGAATTTCTATTTGGAAGACGGAAAAAGAATGGATGAAAATATCCTCTACATAGAATCTTTAAATAGGAGTCATTATCTGTGAAAACTGCTGGCAAAAATAACTCGACCACTATTTAAATGCTAGATTGTCTCAAAAAAAAAAAAAAAAAAAGTGCTATGTGGAAGCGGTTGATTTGGTTTCACTGACAGCAGTCAAAAAGTGTTCTGTTCCAAGCTGACTGCTGAGGGATGTTAAGTATAAAGATAGGGATTTCTGTAAACACCAGTTTGTTATAAGATTATCCGATATGTTGTTCAGAGCATCAAGAAAGCTGATTAAGAAATGCCAAAAAAATAAGAGGACAACAGTAGAATACTATGACAGCATGGGGGGAAAAGGGTGTAACTACGAAAAGAACATTTTTAGGAGAACAGAATTTCAATCACGAGCCTGTTACTGTATACGTTGTTTCCTCCCTGTTACTGTTCTAATACTGGGGGGGGCGAAGGGGAGAACCTCTCTGATTTGAAAAAATAAGCTATTGAACAATGCTCAAATCTTCTTACAAAAAAAAAAAAAAAAGGCCAGGAGAATACAGGGCAGGATTTACTGGTTTGTTTCCCAAAATACATGCTTCACACTTAATTTATTTTATTTCTGGAGGACATAGGAGAAATGATAAAGGCCTCAATTTTCTGACTATCTCCTTGTGGACAAGAATGTGTCTGAAAGGAAACTGTGCCTAAAATAAATACGTTCCACTTCATCAGTTTATTGTATTGAGTGCATTCACATGGCCTAAACTATTCTAAAACTAAACACCTGGAAAAATTCTGATAAAACTGAACATTTCTCACAAGAAGGCTGCTGCATCTGAGCACTTTAAATTTAATATACATTTCCCCCTTCCCAAAAGATGTTTTAAGTGAAAGTCTCTGCAGTGGTTCATCACAAAACAGGATTACATAATCTCAGTTCTAAGTAAATTTGGGCTCTGGTTCTATAAATGCTTACTTAATTTCAATAACGTGGAAGAAGTTCATTTTCAGCTTTATCTCTCTCCAGTAACACTGATGCTGTTCTGTAAGACAAGTCTTGTTGTAATGGTCTGAAAACAATAATGAAGCGAAGATGTGATGCTACATCTTCCCTCTTAAATTGCTATTCACTTTTTTTCTCTGATTCATCAATTTTAATTGGTCACAGACTGCATTGTGTTTGTTTCTTATTTCTACTCTGACTCTCATGCTGCAGTTTCACTGACACAAAAGCTGGCACAAGCCAGCAAAGATAGTGAACGAAGGGGTCTTGCATTTCTTCCCAGCATTAATTCTGGGGTAGCTGGACTACTTCTTTGATCAGCAGTGCTGGCTTATGTTTGCTTGAAGCATCTGTCAAGCTATGACCTAATCCTAAATGGAAGATGTATTACTTCTGGGTTGAATGTCTAATATGGATGCGATTACCCTTAGTTATTTAGTTACAATTCTGTTACTGAAACAATGTGTTATTTTTAATAACAGGCAATGACCTGTACTAACTATAAATTTAAGTATCTTTACCTCTTTGGTGGCAAAACCTCAGAGATCCCCTATAGGCAGTTACATAATTTGCGAAGTTTAGCCTTCCCTTCTGAAATCACTCACCTATCACACCTTCACAAAAAGTATCATTTCCTTTCTACACTTTGCAGTATTTAAGTTGAGCAAAGTAGAAATCATACACTATTCCTAGCAAATGTTTAACCTACTCTTACTGACTTGAAGTCCAGTGCTCTGGCCATCAGCTTTGCACAGCCAAACTGTACCTATATCATTATTACTACAAAGCACTTTATGCGTTGTTTTTTCCTGTGTTTCACAACTGGGAAACAGTTTAAATGAACAAACCTTATTGAACCAGTTTGGGTTCTTCTTTTTTGCCATGGCAAGCGTGGTGCCAAAACCTGCTATCATTCCTGCTGTAGCAACCGTACCTAGAAAAATTCCACCTGCCAAGAAAAGTTTAAGACATAAAAATTAAATTGATATTAATCACTGCAAGTGATATCAACATGTCACATTCTGGGACTGCTGTGTATATCTCCCATCTTATTGAGGTGTGCACGCCTTTTTATAGAGAATACAATTATCTGTGGTTCTGTGAAATTAAGATCTTGTCTCCTAGAAGGAGAAAAAACAAAAAGCAATCTGTTTTGAAAGCAGCACCTGAAAAAGAAAGGTCTGTCAACATATGCTGAGGGAAAAGGAACAGTTGTCCAAATTATTTATACTAATTACCTATGGTAAGGAGGAAAGAATATCTTGAAATGGAGCCTTTTGAAAACAAATAGCAAACATCTATTTGCAAGCTGCACGAGGCAGAAGTCACCCACAACCCAGGATGCCTTTTCACAGCACTTCCAAATTTTCATGCTCCCTCTGCAGCCTCACTCCAGAATCAGGATGCTAAAATCAGCCCTGTGTTACAAGATGATGTGCTTCTCCTGCTGCACCACTGGTGACTTCAAACAGCCATCTGAAAACCTACCTCAGAACACCATTCTGTAAGTAACACATTCTCTTTGGCATTGTCAGCTTTATGTTCTAATGATCTGTTTAAAAAACAAACAAACAAACAAAAAACCAACAAACCTAAAAACCAACAAAACCATGTGAGCTTCCTTGAGATACAAAGCACTCCTTGCTGCCAGCTCTTCTGCAGCCACTTGGGATCTGCTTCTTGCATCAGAAGGGGCTCTGTAGCCATATCAGACCACTTGTAAAAAAAAAAGGCCTCCTATGGACCCTGAGTGCGCTATACAGCACCTGGCTCACACCAAAATGCCCAACCAAAGGCAACAAGCTCTGCCTTTGCACCTGTTGGGTTAAAAAGTTTAAATATATATATCATTTGAATAGGAAGCAAGAATCAAAATCCCCTTATGTCAGGTCTCGCTTTCTAAAACTTGGTTATGATATTACTGTGATGGAGAAGTTTGCTGTAGCCGTGTCAGTGAGATGTGTGGAGGACATGCAGCCTGGGAACAGGAAGATCTCCAACACCCTGACAGAACACAGGGTGCCCCCTGCATTTTACACTTCAAGGTCTACTCAGTAGCAACGTTTTCCCGATTTCAGAAATAGCAACTGGTTTTTAATTGATGTCTGCCAAAAGAAGAGGAGTTTAACGCACAGCCTCCAGCCATGGGACTTGGGCAGGCAAGCACTACAACGTGGAGAAGCACCCTGAGGCAGTGACTGTGCACCCTCCGCCCGGGACGCGTCTCCCGGCTCCCGCAGCCCGCGCGTTCACAGCGCTCCAGGGCTCGGCCACGCACGCCCCACGTGCTGCCGCCCGCCTGTGACCCGAGTGGGGAGGGGAGGAGAAGGGAGGCGCTTCCAGCACCTTTAATGAGGAAGATCTTGTCCTGGGAGGCCGCAGTGCTCCCGCGGCCCCGGGGAAGAGGCCTCCCCAGCGCGGGGTCCAGCGGAGCCGCAGTTTGCGGGGAATCCCCCATGGCCGGGCAGCGGGAGGACGCGGCGGCAGCGGCAGCTAACCCGGAAGGAAAAGGAGCGGAGCAGGCGGCGCGGCCGCCCTTCCTCTTCCATCTCCTTCACCTCCTCCTCCTTCTTCTGGGCTGCGCAGCCGCTGTGGGTGCCGGTATGTGTGGGTAACTCAGGGGTGAATGGGCAGAAGTCACAGCCTCTCGCAGAACGCGGCTATACTAGCGCACTCGGAAGGGATTTCTATGTAAATCTCAGTGACAACGTGATGGACTTCACTAAACGAAACTGAAATCTTTGCTCCCAATGAATTTTACTGAGCTGTCTTGACGGATGTCGTTGCTTTCAAATACGTTTTGAGGTTCCAGATTGCATCTCCCGTTTTAAACACCGTGGCAGAATCACAGTGTCGGTGTGCGCTGCTTCGCACAGCAGTGTGGGTGACTGACGTACGGCTCGGATCTGGCACCACGTTAAGAGAAAAAACGCCCATCTAAACAGAGCACAAGCGTTTCCTCCTCACTTTCTTTGTTTGAACCTCTTCGTCATCATTTATAGTGCGTATCTAGGGGTCTGATTGCAGGGGATTGGGTTGCTAGGCAAAAATTCAGTATTTTGGGAAACTTCCTGGTCGTGGTACTTCTGCAAACCAATCGGAAGCCTCTAATGCATGTGCATTACACACATCTCACACAGCGAAGCAGCAGTGGTTGTGGAATACAGTTGTTACTGTCATACAGCTGACTCATCAGCCCCAGCTCCGCTTTTCAGAGCACCTCACTAACTACCAGTCTTCCTCCATTGGGAGAAAGCACCCCAGGTTCCCATATGTGAAAGGGACCTGGGTGAACTGATGGGCAGTTGACTGAATATGAGGCAGCAATGTGCCCAGGTTGCCAAGAAGGACAACGGCGTCCCGGCTTGTATCAGGAATGCTGTGGTGAGCAGGACTAGGGAAGTAATCCTGCCCCTGTACTTGGTATTGGTGAGGCTTCACCTTGAGTGCTGTGTTCAGTTTTGGGCACCTCAGTATAGAAAGGACACTGAGGTGCTGGAGCAGGTCCAAAGAAGGGCAACAAGACTTGTGAAGGGCTTGGTGAATATGGCCTACGAGGGGAGACTGAAGGAACTGGGGCTGTTTGGTCTGGGAAAAGGAGGCTGAGGGAAGATCTTATTGCTCTCTTCCAATATCTAAAAGGTGCTTACAGCGAGAGCGGGGTTGGTCTCTTCTCAGTGGTGACGGGTGACAGGATGAGGGGAAATGGCCTCAAGTTGCATTGGGGTAAGTTTAGGTTGGATATCAGGAAACACTTCTTTACAGAAAGCGATGTTAAGCACTGGAATAGGCTCCCTAGGGAGCTGGTTGGGTCACCATCCCTGGACGTGCTTAAAATCCATTTGGATGTGGTGCTCAGGGACATGATTTAGAGGAGTTAGGGTAGTATGCTTAAGTTGTGGTTGGACTTGGTGATTTTTAAGGTCTTTTCCAATCTGAGCAATTCTATCGCTCTATGATTCTGTGTGTTTTGGAGTAGCATTAGGACTGTAGTTCTTTCTGATTCCAGCGCAAATAATAAAACCTCTTGGAAAAAGTGGTCTTGGAATTTTAAACAGCACAGTGACAACACTAAGGGGAGATATACCAGTTTTTGTTTTATCTGAAGGCTGCAGCAAATAGGATATAAATATGGGGCCCTGGGCAGCCTGATCTAGTGGGTAGCAATACTGCCCACAGCAGGAGGGTTGGAGCTCAGTGGTCTTTAAGGTGGCTTCCAGCCTATTAATCTGTTCTGTGATTCTAAATACTATGTATTAATATTTAGATGTTGTTAGTAAGCATAAAGCTGAAACAACGGCATGCATACATTTTGACTATAAATTGGGCCAAGACCACCACTGTTTCTGCAAGAGGAATCATTGAACTGTGAGAGATAATAACTTGCTTTTTATCTTTGATGATAAAATCCTAGATTTTCTTCTTCTTAGGATAGTTTTTTGAGTTCACATCAATCAATAACTCACTTTCTTTCAAATCTCCAGGACTAGGAAGAAGGAGATGAGAAAAAGGAATAATAACGTTATTTAATCTTGATTTGAACAGTGCCAAGAATCTACATTTAAGATAGTCAGATAAGATCTGTCTCTATTAATCATTCACAAAGACTTAAAGTAGGGCATAAAACCTATGAAATCCACTGTGTCTTTCTGAGGAACTTAAAATTCTCAGTGTTATAAAACAAATTGTTGTGCTTTAAAAAAGAGAGAGAGAGATGTTCAGCAAAATTATGTCCATTGAAATTGTTATATAACTTAATGTAATTCTTTCAAGTACAATTTACACAAGAGCTTTGCATTATCTCCTCTTCTTCCTTCTCTGTCACTGTTACAGTATACAAGCAAACAGAGCAATCTACATATAGCTACCAGCTATGTTTTCTAAAATTCAGTTATTTCTTCCTGAAATTAGACACATTTTTGTTCGAAAGACCAATTTTAATGATTCTGGTATCAAATATTCAAAGGTTCTTAAAATGAGGCCATGAAAATATACATGCAAGTAAGTAAACATGCATTGCTTGTACTAATTTAATTTGACTACAGTTAAAAGTTTGGACAGAATTATTAAATTGTGAGTGCTGAGTTCAGGCACTATTTACTTTGTGTTGAGGTTTGCAATGGCCAGGATGCAGAATTTCACAGCAAAGCAATTGTAGCTGGTAGACTTCCTTCAGTGGGCCTCTTTTATTGTTTAAAAGAAAATAAATTTAAGAAAAATACAAAAGAAACAAGTTTGCATAAACACATTCCCTAAGCTTGTTTGTTTGTTTGTTTGTTTTAATAATCCTCATGAATACGTGGCATTCCTTCCCATAAGCAGCTCAAGAAATACAATCACCATGTGCAGACTTCTTAATATAATGCTGATCTGTGTTTCTCCTGCTCCTGTCATCTTATGAGCAGACAACTAACTGCAGGACTGGAGAGAATGCTGGCAATTCACAGTCAAGGCTGGTTTCACTTCAGGACTAAGATTGAAATCAGGTCTTCAGTGGAGAAAGGGTTAGTTTGTAAGTGCACTGTGGCATAATAAATATGTTTACTGAGTTATTGAGGTGTCTGATAGAATGTATCCAGAGCAGTCTTCAGTGCCACTGCAGAGACAGTTGGCAGATAAAGCACAGCATCAGTTCTGGAGATAGAAAATCCAATTCAAAACATGCAGGAGGTTGATTTGAATACTTGTTAAAATGACATATTCAGTTAACAGAATTTGATTATGTAAAAGAATTTGGGAGAGCCAAATGCTGGTTTTGGAAGGAGAGAAGATAAAGCATTTGAGCTGTTCTTCCGCTCTTGGGAGAACTGGGTTTTACTCTTTGATTGAGTTGGATCATCTCCTGAACTTCTGAAGGCTTTGATATTTGAAAGTATGGGGCACCTTACACCCTCTGTGTACATGAGGAAGCTGTGTAAGTATTTCAGAACAAATTTCTGGTCTGCTGGACAAGAAATTGAAGCATTCTGAGTCTATGATTTTGTTTCTAACAGTACTGTCTGTCTTTATGATAAGAAACTGCTTACTGTTGTGCCTCTCTTAAGAATCAGGTGTATGAAATTCCCACACTGGGAGTAAATTCTCAGATCTTTTCTAGAAAAAGTCTGGTCACTGAATAATGATTTATAGCATTTAGTCACAGAAATACTGACAAGATCAGTGATCATCTATCAGACACAAGAACAATTATAGTAAGAGCTTTGCATCTGAAAAAGAGAAGACATTTTAAAAATATTGATTGAGCTATCTTCAAAGATTTATGTGAGGGGTATTTTTCCATTTAGAGAAGAGGAAATGAAGAAATCAATCAGTTTGTGCAGTTCTGCTTTAGTATTTTTTGGCGTAGGCACAGGCTTGGAGGATAGATCTCTGGATGCCCAGTCATCTTCAGCACAGGCCCACCTTTCTGTTTTACCAGTAACTTCTTTTTTTTTATTTCACTTTTCCATTTGTTTATTCAGTAGGTAATGCTTGACCTAGGACAAGACTAGCTGTGTGTGAATGTTACACTGACACCAGAGCTCTGTATGGCCGGAGCCTGGCCACAGTTCAGTAGATGGCAGAAGTTCCAATGGCAGCGTGACCAGAGTTCCAGTTGTAAATCCCAAATTAGCACTCATACATGATGACATTAGGGCTAGTCAGAGGCGAGTTTCAGAGATGTTATTGTGCATCAAGGCTGCCCGGTGCCCTGGACTATGTTCATGTGACTCTGCAGAGATGGGGATGCTTGGGGAGCTCCTGAGGAAAACTGACTGATGTTTGCGGGGAAGCTGCAGGAGATGGCATGTTTCTGTGGGATGCTTCTCAGAATGTTGGAGGGGTTTCCTGCACGTATGTGTATCTACTTATTTTATAATCTTAGCTCTTACTAAATTTCATGTTTTATTACCTTCTCAGTGGTTGAAGTATTCTCTCTGTGTAAGTGAAATATATTTGCATCTCTTTGTCTGTGCCCACATTCCTTTCTTAACTAGAGAGGCAAATGCTAGATCTCTTCCCAATGCCTGTGATATTACCATTGCTTTAGAGTCTTAGTAAATACGTTTATGAAGTTGATTTGTTTTGTTTTTTACTGGATATTGTGTCCGTAAGGATTTCAGTATGTATTTCATTGTAGAATAGTACTCTATCACCTTTTAGTAGTTATTTTGCTGTACTACAAACACCTTTATCATGATCCAGAGAAAATTTATTTCTGACAAAATTCAAAAACCTTAACAGCAAAGAAAAAAGAAATGGTTGTACCAGGGTGCCTTTAAATTATGGCCTGGGACTTCAGAGTCAGCCGGTCTGCCTGGACGTCTGACCTGAGATAGCAGAGGTGGTCTTGAACCACCAGTTAGGTTATGACCTATTGCCAACCTGTTCTTCATGTCTCAGATGGGCAGAATTGGAAACTTCCAAATTTACAGTTGGCAAGACGGAGGCCTCTTGGTGGCAGCTCAGTACATGGATTTGTCTACCCCATGTGTCTCCTGCTGTGGGCTTCACAAGATACTTCGTAGCCTGTAGCTCAAACATCTCCCCAAAACTGTCCTCCCAGAGTACAGCTGGGCTCAGATCAGGTTGCACACAGAGGCTGTGCCATCTCATTTCTGCGTTTTGCAGAGCTGTCTGTTTAAAGCTGTTCAGACCTAGTCTGAACTCATGGCTGACTCTGTTTTGAAGAGGAGGTTGGACTGGGGACCTCCTGAATTTTTCCTCAGCCTGACTGACGTGGTATGGGTGGGCAGATTCCCCCACAGATCCAGTGTGAATTAATCAAAAGGTCTGGGTAAGCGTGATGTCAAACATGGTTTGCTTTTGACTGACTCAGATCGAACTCACCAAGTTATGATGGCTCTCAGAGGCGGAGAGAAACTTTACTAGCATCTTCAGCATCATTTTTAGAAGCTGCTCTGTCAGATGCCCGAATGGACCAGGAGGAGAGGTGCGGTGCCCAGCCCTTGCCACTTGGTGTCCTCATGAGGCCAACTACACTGGTCTGGGGAGCTTTAGCAATGGCATATGTTGCAAAACACTGGGAAAAGAAATGGGACTAGTATTTTATTTATCGTTGGGAGTTGGCCAATATAAAATCGGTTCAAATATAATACGTCACCTACTTGAGAAACCCAGCCATGGAATTAATTGGCATGAATATGAAGTGTATACTTATTTTTATCAGCTCCAGAGACGATTGTATCCAAAGGCCCTTCTTGCAGTCGTTCACAGAGCTTAATTGCTATGGTTAATGTTACAATTAAAAAAGACCTGGAAGGAGAGCTGAATATTATCATCACGATAAATGATAATTATCACTTTGTGCAGATGGATGATAAACATTTCTAATTAAATTACTCTTGTAACATAAATTAATTGTATGATCTGGATAAAGTACTTCTGATTTCACATTTAGGATATTTCTAAGGGCAACAAGTTTGTGCCAGAATTTCAGTCTGCAGGTCAATCTGTCTTTTAAAAATATCCAACTGTTCAATGAACATAGCTGCTTACTGCAGTTTTTTGCAGTGAAGAAGTTCTGCAATAAACAAATAGTTCAAACATGGTGCATGGGAGAATAAAATAAACTATGCACCTGACATAATATCTTAGTTCTTTTTGCTGGGTAATTCATCAGCTATTGTGTTTTACTCCTATATTATTTTCTTCTCTGAGGATTTTTGCAAGACACAAACCATTAAGCTAATACTCTACAAACAGGAAAGCTCATTAAGAGCTCTATGTAAGGGGGTGAGTGAGATGGGTGATGAAGGTGCCAGTCATTAAGGTTTGAGAGAGAAGGAACTGTGAAATTTGTTAGGAATAATTACATGCAGTCTGTCTGTGCTATGTAAAGATCCAGTTGATTTTGTATACCTCACATTCCTTTCTAATCTGTGAGAGGTGCAGTGAGTAATGCAAACTGCACTTCAGGCAGTGAATTACAGTTGATGACTCTCAGATGACCAGTAGCTTCATGGCTTATTATATACATGTTGACAGCAGCAATCCTTTCTACCAGGCCCCGTTAGACATTCACTTAGAGTTTCTAAAGCAACAGACCTTGACTGCAACAGGCAATTTTTGAAGGTTGTAAGCGGGAGACAGATGGCCACTTTCTGTCAAGAGATAATGGGAATTTTGTGCCAAAACTCTCTCTGTGCCTATGGAAGAACTAACCCTGAGATTTTCTGCATGCATGCCTTCGTGTGTAGGCACTACATTAGTGCTTACTGTATATATCAAAATTTGGCACTGCCATCTCTCTCTAAACATCACATTAATCCATCTGTCTGTCACCATAGTAACAAGGCTCCCTATTGATGACCAAAGAAGAGCTGAACCATTATACCTAAATGTGCCTGGTTTAAAAAAAAAAAAAAAGAGTAAACCCACTTTGTGTGAACTACAGAGACACCATGGGCAATGTGTGGTAGAAAATGGGCAACTTATTATTTCCTACGTAGTATTTTTATTCGTGCATGAACATCTGAAATAAACTACTGCAAAAACAATCCTCAAATCTGATGTTTGCTTGCTCACATCTTCTTATTCCATTTTTTTAAGAACTCAATTTTTAAAATGTGTATTTTCTTCAGGAGAAGTTACATGTTCTGTGGAACATATTTGTCCCCAGGGGTGGAAAGATGAAATGAATAACTTAAAGATTCTAAGCACAAAGCATACCAGGGATGTTTCTCAGTATTTCGCTGCACATATTCTCTTCCTCTCTCACTTCCACACTTGTAACATTGCCAAAGTGGAATGCACGTATTCATTAAAGGATCAATGTCTAACTGAGTGCTGTTAGTTGGACCTGGGATTTTTTGAGAACCACAATGTCGTGGAAACTCTGACATGAATTACTGAACTTCATAAATCATTCTTAGACAATGAATTTCCATTTTTTTTTTATTACAGTGGCGCCATGCATGCTATTAATGGTAGACTCAAGTCTATAATTCTATTAGACTATAAAGAGGTCTTTGGTTTTAGACCAGAAATAAAGCTTAAAACTAACCATTGGCTTCTCTTCTCCTTCTGCGTTCATTGGGCAGTGCTTTTTATTCTCCAGAATATATTTTTGTCCTGCTGCAGCTTTTCTTTTCTAAGCCGCTCTGCTTTGGTCACAAAGTTAACACTAATAAGAGCTACAAAGTAGATAAAATGAGGGAGTGGAGGAAGAAACAGGGATATTTAATTTTAGAAGTGCTTTGCTGTGTTCACAGAGCTGAAAGTACAATTAATTTTTTTACAGCTCTTTGCTATCTGGTTTAAGCTATGGCCCCGATCTTCCAACAGGCTGCAAATATGTGGTGGAAATGTGCTGCGTGCACATGCACACATACTGGATGTATGCATATCAGGCAGATTTTATGATATCTGGTGTCATCTGGGCAGACAGAGGCATTTTGCTCTGCCAGAGGGTATCTGAACCCCTGGAAGGTCAGCTGGATCTATTTGGCAAAACAGAGACACAGATGTTACCAACCTGCCAAGGGTTTCTGATTCACAGCTGACATTTAAAATGATTTCAGCTGAGTAAAAAGGAGAAAACAAATACATAAACCTCTTCAGGTAAAGAAAGGTGACCCCTTGAACTGACAGAAAGGAATATTGCAAAAAAAAGAAGATTCATTTTGGAGTTTATAATATCAGGGCTGTGGCATTCATTGCTCTGGGTGACAGTGATGTGACAAAAATGATCAAACATCTTAAATGGGGCACTTGATATATATCCCCTCAACTGGGGGTATTAAAGCAGCACCTGGCCATGCAGATGATGACCACCTGTGATGCACACTATAACCTCATTTGCCATTGTTCCAGATGGTACTCCACCTCCATCACCAAGTGCAGCAGGCCTTCCAAGACAGCAAAGAGCAGCAGCTACAAAAAAAGGATTTCTCAGAGCTCCTGTACTTAGCATAGCTTTCTAAAATTTGAAGAAGTTCGTTATCAATACAATGCACTCTGTTTTCCCACATGGTAAAACAGCAGTATAATACTTTTCTCTCACAAAATGAATTTGAGTTTAGTTTACAGAGAATTTTACAGTGCAATCAAACGCATTTCCTAAGGATGGGAAGAGCTTTGATTTTTAATTACAAATTATATATTTTAGTAACCTTTTAACTAAAACGTAAAATTCAAAACATAACCTGCTAAAAAAATATTCTCTCTCTAATTAATATTGAAAGTAGCATTTTTTAAAAAGTATTACTTTTTTTAATGATTTGTAGAAATTAAAATTTCTCTTTTTCTTTTCTAAGCTAGATTCTGCACGGTCTGGGTTTTCTCTCCGATTAATTCCTTTCTCTCTTGAAAACTTATGAAATCTAAAAACTTCCTTCAAAAAATAAAAAAGTGTGATTGCAATAAAAACTTGGTTCGAGTCTGGACCTAGCACAAGAGACTTATGTCCTTGCCAGCTGTATTTCTGTCTTCAAGGTTTGCAGTAACTATGCACTCTCAGTAGATATGAGAGAAATCCCAGTGTCTATAGAGGACATGCTTCTACCCTGCCCATATGTCTGTCTGGCTGCTATTCATATAGGATAGAGCACATTCAACCCCATTTCAATTCTCAGCCACTCAGCAGAAACAAAGCATTTCATGATCAAAGATTTTATCAGTGACACAGTGCCGCTCTTTTTATACTTGGTTTTTGGCCAGCTGGCATTCTTGATGTAGCATTCCTATGTTCTCAGCTGTCACATGTTGATGCCCTTCCCAAAAATTTAATTTCATCCACATGCTATATGAATTATACTCCAAAAACACATGGAAGCATCTCTGGCTCATTTCAGGTAAATGTTCAGCATGAGTTTGTGATCTCTTCCAGGCATGTGCTAGACTTCAGGACCCACACCATCTCTTCCCACCTGAAAGAGAAGCCTCTGCTTTAACAGTGTCTACCAGGGCTGCAAGCAACATGTTCTAGGTAGGTACCAGGTGAGGCCTTGGAGGATTCTCTGTGTTTCCTCCCCTGATCTCAGTTCCAGGTCTGGTGTCCTTGAGTGAGATGGTAATGTTCTGCCTCCGTCTAGAGGGGATATGGACAGGCAACCAAGCACTGAGATACAGTCCACCTGCTTGAGAGAGCATGGGTTTTGTTTGTGTATGAGCCGTTGGCACTGCCCTGTGCAAAGAGCACTCCTGAACCAGCCACCTGCTCAGAGAGAGGAGTCGAGTTCAGTTCTTAAGGAGATGGAGTACAATTGCAGTAGATTGGTAAAAAGGAGCAAAACTAGTGCTCTTCTTGACTTTGAAAGGAGGTGGGAAAATGAAGTGGGAGGGCTGAGGATGGAGATGGTCCTTTTGTGTAAAGAGGAACAGAAAAGTCTTGCTTTTGTCTTCTGAGATGTGAAGGAAGGAAATCAGAGGAAATCAGTGCTTTTTTTGGCTATGCATAGAGAAAAATTCTGTTCTGTGAGCGCTGGTGTGAATGGACATTAATTAAAGCAGCATCTTTCTGACCCTACAAGCCCAAGTGCTGCCTGTGAGGACGTGCCCTTACTGACACCCACTTGCCTGCTGTCCTAGTGCTCTGGATTGCTTGGAGCAGCAGTGCTGAGAGGGATACAGACACACTGAAAACCATAATCTTATAGGAATAATCCACACTTAAGGGCTCACCACCTCCTTAATACAGAGAGAGGTGCATCAGGTCATAGGATTTTTGCAGAACGTAGGAATTAGTGTCCTCTGTATCTTAGCAGGCTTCACGGGCAGCAAGCTGAGGGCATGGTCCCTTGCAGCACTGCACATGTGAAGCTTGGCTGGGCAGGGGCACTTCATTTGAGATAAAAAGCTCCAGAGTCTAAAATAAACATAGGCTCCCTAGCCTTGCAGAAGCCCAGGTTCTGCAAAGGGAGAGAGAGTGCCAGCTACCCACTTTGGATGAGTGAAGAGCTGAAAATTACAGTGATAGCTTTTCTCTAAGTGTAATTATAAGAACTGTATAGAGACAGCCTTTGGGAACATGAATCTCATATTTTGCTTCCTGCAATGGGGAAATCCACACAGGGAAAAGAGCTGACAGTATTTTCACTGTTGCTGGAGAAGATTATAGGGGTATACAGGCTTTGGAGAATGGCTTTGAAGATCTTGACTGCAAACAGCCCCACCTCAGATTTGTCAAAGCTGAACTGCACCAGCTGCCTCCTGAATATGCATGGGAGCCCAGATTGCCAGCACTGAACGGCAGGTGCTAACTCATACAGACAGGCATCTTGCTTGTGGTTTCCTGTAGCCAAGAATTCCTGATTATCTGCTGCTCATCTCAGATGCAGAGCAGAGTGTGGTGCCACAGGGAAAGTTGGTCTCCACGATGCAAAACCTCTTAAGTCATAAAGTATTGGTTGTTGTCTTTGAAATAATAAATAAATATACAGATAAATTCAACTTCATGCAAATCTAGAAGTTTCGGCAATGTGTTGAGGGATGACATCTAGAGATGGCTTAACCTGGCCCTTGCAGTCTGGAAGAGCCCTGGTGGGGCTGTTACAATTTCCTGAGCTGTTGCACGAGCAGAAGATGCAGTGGCTCTTACAGCAAGCAAAACAACAGCAGGTAGGAATTGTTCACAGAATGTGCTGTGCAAAGGTTACCAGTGTGTTAGTCTTATTCTGAGCATCGTGTTGTGGTTAGGTATTGTGGTTAGAGGCAGACAATCGATGAGCGTTTTGCACGGTGCCTAATAAGGCTGTGGTATGCAGACAAAAAATGTAGGAGATGACTTTTGCACTGAAATATGCTTTCCTCCATGTGAAAAAGGATAAAGATGAAGCTGGTCTGCTCAGGGAAGCCCTAGCTTTGATCTGTGTGCTGAAATAGCCTGCACCAGTTGGCCTGCATGAGAATCACCAAAAAAATAAAAAGAGGCCAAAGTAGGTTCTCATAAATCCCATCTCATAAATCTTCGTGCTACTGGCAATTTTCCTCTTGTTAGCATTCCTCTGTGGAGAAATTGGTTGCGCTTACCTTGAAAGTGGAGAAATGCAGGTTTTTACAGATGATTTCCCTTGACAGGATGCTATTTTCAGTAAGGTAATCCTAAAAATCCACCTGCAGTTTATGTCATGAACAGCAGGTACTTAATTTTTCCCCTCCATATGTCACCATCCTCAGCTCTGAGCATCCATTTGAAGCTTCAGCCATCAATTTTATTGAGTATCCATCATCTTGCAGGGACCTAGGGTTGATGCTGTTTGCTTGAAGGTCTCAGGCTTCTCACTATATTTATTTGGATGCTTCCTTCTTCTATGCATACACAGTTTATAAATTTCTTCATGTAAATACCTATCAAATTATCACAAAATTATATTAAAGTTAAGAGCAGATCTTATTTACTAGTAACTGAAGTTCTTCAAGCTCAGATATTCACACAAGCATTCCTCTTCTGTTGTTTTCCTGTCTAGTATTGCTGGTTCTGTGGCTGAAGGGGCACACAGAGTGTCCCACTTCATGCGCATGAAGCAGGATAGAAGGCAGGTCTGCATGTACTCTGCTATGGGTCACAGAATCACAGAATAGTTTGGGTTGAAAGGGACCTTAAATATCATCTAGTTAGAGATTGGTTACTGGTAAGCACTTCAATTGCCTTTCTATCAAGCCTGAGTTTATAATTTTACCCCAAGCTTTTTTTTTTCTTTTTTTTTGCTGAAGCTAAGATGTATATTTTTTCCTGTTATATTCCTGTTAGTATTCTATACCTACAGTCCTGCAAATAAAACAGACAAATTCATAAAGCTCCAATGACTAATCTTTGCATATTATTTATGGCATGAATAATTTCCTGCAGAATTCTGAATGAATTTCTTGGGTTTTCTGGTTACAGCTTTATTGGTTTAATATGTGATTATGCTACAGGCTGCGATTTGCTCATCAGAAGTCATTTATATGAATGCTATTAGATTAGTATATGGTAATTCTACAAAAATTCAGATTTATGAACTCATTCTTCTATTTTGGTGTTGAAAGCATATGTTCTAAAGCCTTTGCAAGTCACTCTGAGAATCTTGGTCAAAACCTTGTATTAACCATGCAAATAATCACAGATTTACCTTTCCTACCATTCCTTATTATTATTATTTTTTTTATCATTTATTTATTTATTTTTATTCTTACTGGAAAAAATAGAAATATGTCTTATGAAGCCCACTTGGGTATATTTGAAGAATGCCAACTTCTGAGAACATTTACAAGTGAGCCACCACATTAATTGTGGTATGGAAAAAAAACTTTATGAATTTAAAAGCACATTTCCATCTGAAGATGTTGCACCCACAACCAGAACAAGTAATTGTTTGTACTCTGATGCCATAAATGTGTGCCAAGCTTTTGAGAAGAGCAAAGCTCATCCACCTAAGTATTCACAGAAATATGGGTACAATTACTACAGTAAGCAAATGAACATAGAGGGAAAAATATGTCTGTTTTATGTCTCTGACCACACTTGTATATCATCAGTGACACACTTCTGTTCTCTACCGCAGTGTTGTCAGCCATATGATTTGTGAGTCATATCTAGTCCTTTGTTTACAGGACTCATTGAATATTCAGATTCTAGAGTATACATTATCAAGTAAATGAAATAAGTTTCCTATCTTTTTTGCAGGCAAGAGGGAAGGAACCTACGCCTTCCAAACTGGACATTAATTCTGTCCTTGATGAGCTGCAAACCTGAGTCTGTCAGGACTTATTGTCCTGGAAACAATAGCTCAAAGGTGTAACATGACCTGCTCTTCCTTACTGGTTTTGCTCACTGTTTTATGGCCCGAAAAGAAGTGAGTATGAAAACAGAGACTTTGCTATTTTCTGGAGGAAAGTATATGCAGCAGGAGAGGAGGACGTGGGAGGGACACAAAAACAAGCTGTAGGCAGGAAAAGGAGTATGGGAAAGAAAAAAAGGGAGCAAGAGAGAGGCAATGATATAATGTTAAATCTTCCCAGTTAATGATGTCGAATTGTGACAATGAAGCATTAAAGAGATTTTCAAAAGCAGTTAGCTCTGTTTTCAGATGGCCTAGTTAAGTGTGCAATGATGCAGATAGCCTCCCACTGGGATTTTCAGAAGTCTCTAATGGCCTAATTCCTACAGGAAAACTGTTATGTGCTTTATATTTCTCCACATAAACACATCATGGATGTGTTCCTCTGCCAGCAATGGCTGCTTGAAGTATGTAGTCCAAAACAGTGTAACAGCCCACGACTGTAATTATAATGAAGTCTTCTCACAAAACGAGTGTCACGCTCCTGCGTGAGCTGGGTGACAGCCTTTTCTTGTGCTCTACTGCAGAAAATGAGCTCCTGCTTTTCCATAGTGCTGCAAGAGGCTGTTTGCTATGACAGCAGAGAAGAGAAAGAAAGCCACAGTCAGGAAATATGCAGAGGTGAGGGGAAAAGGTTGTATATGAGATAAACTTGAGCATATTTCAGGCTAAAGGAGCTGGGCTTGTTCAGCCTGGAAAAGAGAAGGCTCTAGGGAGACCTCATTGTGGCCTGACAACACTTAAAGTGAGCTTATAATCAGAAAGGAGACAGACTTTTTACATGTTGTGATAGTGATAGGACAAGGAGAGGCAATTTTAAGCTGAAAAGGGGGAGATTTAGATTAGATGTGCAGGAGAATTGGAAGCTGATGATCTTTAAGGCCACTTCCAGCCCAGGCTATTCTATGATTCATTGTTTGCAGTTATTCTTTCATCTACTAAGAGTCTGATCCCTTCCACAGCTCACAGTAAGACAGCAAAAAAAAGATCTATAAAAGCCATATTATTTTAAGCGGGAGATATTATTTAAAGAACTCTAACTCAAGGCATTTTTAGTATTTTAATAAGTTAATTAAAATAATTGCCACTAACAGCATCCTTTTAATTACATGAGCATTTGCAGGTGTGTAATACATTGTTGGGGTTTCTTTTGTTTGTTTTGTTTCCTATAAGGACTTACTCAATGGTTTAAAGTGTCAGTGAGACTTCCCTTCCATTTCTAAAGAAAGGCTTTGGAAATTGCTTGGCTAAATAGGAAAGATGGTAGCAATTTCAAGTAGAATTAAATTCTTAAATGTTTCTTGAAAAATCAATGAAAGAGGGAAAAAAAAAAAAAAAAGCTTAATGCCAACACTGTGGGAAGAACTCGGTCACTATATATTGCTCTCCCCAGGAAGTCTTAATAAGAAAGCTTGAGCTTATTTAACAGTTCATCACTACCCAACAGGAGAACGTTTTGCTCCCAATTCCTTTTCTGCCTTCAAGCTGCTTGTTTGTCTCCTCTCACTTCCTGCCAGCTCTTGCACTTAGCTGATGCCTCTGTGAGCAGATGTGGTTGAGCCTGAAGTTCAGTGGCAGCTTATCCAAATCTAACTGCTGGCTGCAGGCATGCAGCCTGTCCCTTTGTTTTTCTCTCTCCTCTTTCACTTTCCTTTTGCTGGCCAACGCGTTCCTCCTGCCCCTCCCTTGTGATGCTTCGTCATGTCCTCTGCTGAATTGTTCTAGCATAATAACATTGCAGAAAATGAACTGGTGTGCACTGAATATTAAAATGGGAGGAGCTGTTGACTTCTTTGAGGATAGAAAGTCCTTACAGGGAGATGTTGATAAACTAGATGACTGGGCAATCACCAACCAGATGAAGTTTAAAAAGAGCAAGTGCCGGATTCTGCACCTGGGATGGAGCAGTCCTGGATACATATACTGACTGGGGGACGAGAGCCTGGAGCAGCCTCATGGAAAGGGATATTGGGGGTTCTGGCTGACAACAAGTTGAATGTGTAGTCAGAGGAGTGCCCTGGCAGCCAAAAGAAAGCAGATGTGCCACACAGATGGGTATGACCTGTGATCACATGCTTATTTCTCTGAAACACTAAGCTCATTTCCTGTATGTATTGTGGGGAAAAAAAAGAAGAAGAAGAAAAAAAAGAAGTGGCTTTAAAGAGGAAGTTCGCTGTGTGAAAAGGAGCGGTTTGGTGAACTGGGATTAGGATAAAGCTCTATGAACCACTTTAACCAAGAACTGGTAATATATAGCCATATTACAGACCTTTGCTGTATAGAAATTTCTGAACAGTACCAGACAATAACCAGACCATGCTGCTCTGCATCAAGTGATGAAGAATGCAAAGCTCTTCACGTGCAAGCAAAACAGCAAACAAACTGTAATCCACTGCACAGTTCAGACACTGTATGATACTACAGCAGATTTTAAGACTGAGGAAAGTTGTTTCTTGGCTCCCATGAGGGAATGTTTTACGTGCTCCAAGACTGACAACATTGGAAATTTTTTTTTTCCCTCAATTAACTGTACTTTTTTGGCCCTTTCTTTTGGTTCGCTCGTGATCTACAAGAGCTTTCCAGAATTAACAATTTTTTATTCTTTCCTTTGCTCAAATTAGAGCAAGCAGGAGTGTTAAGTAGGTTAAAATACCACAGTGACGATCTCATACAATACTTGTGTATGGGGTTTTTTCCATTTTCTTTTTAATTGAAATTGTAAAATTTTGTGGCCATATCTCCTAAACTTTGGAAGTAGTCACTGAACGTGGGAAACATACCCAGTTCTGAAAACTTCTGGATTTCAATTGCACTCTCAAGTACAGTTATGGTCTGGAATAAATCAAAATATCCATAGATTCTGACTTTTACCCAAAGCAGTGAATTTATATGTTAAGAAGCCAAAGTTGTGTTTAGAGAGTGCTTCTGATATGCTTCCACTTTTTCTTTATTTTCTCCCTTTTTTACAGTTCATATGGATAATATTATCTAGTCTTTTAGGACTTACTGCGCTGACAATTTAAAAGTCAACAGTCTGAAGCTGGACAATTTTCTCTGAACAACAAATCTGTCATTTCAAAGGAGGTCATTGATGCTAGTGCTTAAGTAATAAATAATTTCAGTTCTCTTGGCAAAACCCACAGAAAAGTTATTTTATATTTTGCAAAATATGTACATTTCTAGAGACATGTAATGATTTAAATAACACTAAGCAAAACTAAGCTGTTTAAAATAAATGAAATGACAATAAAATTAGAAAACTGAAATGTTTAACTTCTTGGAGGAGTAATGAGCAAAAGCAAAACCCTTCAAAGCTATTTGACGACTTTTGTGAAATTTAGTAATATTTTCAGTTTTATCCAAAGCCTTTTTTTAAGGAAATGAAGCACTTCCAAGTTGGTACTAATAAGACTGTTAAAGAATGGCTCATTGGCCAAGCAGTGGTAGAAATTACTTTTGAAAAGCACCAAAGTGGAAAAGTATTTGATAAGGAAGAAGGTTATACTGTAGAAAACTCTTATTATGTGAATGCTACTGCCATGCAACTGCCATGTATGGTGTACTTCTGTACTCCTGAACTTGCAAGGCTTCCTTCAGTGTCTCACAAGTCAAAGGTAATATCACTGCTTTTCTTGATTGTTAATTTTTCCAAAATCACTTGCGAACGATTTGGAAAATGTGCCCAGAAAACATGACTGTGGCACTCCATTTTATTCCACCTCTGAGTGGAAAGGTGGATTGCTTTCCACCTCTGAGAATATTAGATCTTTCAGTTCAATACCTGTTACTTCTTCCTTTTTTTCATTAGAAGCAATTGATCTGGCAAAGTAGAGTGCATGCAGTACAGATATGTTCAAAATGATACAATTTTCTAGTTTATGTTTATTTAATCACTTAAGTAAATTGATAATGCTTATACCATAGTCAAGCTGATCCTGTAATCAAGTATGGTAACAGATGTTCTACATATGTGAGGTGACGTGTCGTCTCAGCAAATGAGCTTCCCTGTTGTTTTAAGACTTGCCCTTTTGATGCCTCCAGACAGAGTCAGAGATAGTAACTCTCAGGGGTAACAGCTCATTTGTTACTACTCTCCTAACAAAAAAGATAATATTCGAAAAAAATATATGTAAATATGATGTAAATATTGCTGCAACATATTCTCCCATTGCATGAGATCAATCTGAGTCACAGGTAAGAAATCACACAAGTACACACCAGGACACATGATGATACAAAGTTTTATGAAGAGACAATTGATTCATCTTAGGTATTGTGTTTATGGTGTAATCTGTTTGGTGTTCCAAAGCAATTTCCATTAATATTGTGTGTGAATTCTAACAAGTGCTTTCAATACTATTGACAAGAGTCAAATAGTGTGAAATATTAAATGCATAAGGTATTTTTGTATGGCATTTTCAAAAGGTTCTAAAGGCAGCTTTAAGAAGGTGCTGATAACATTTGCAAAACAACGCCAATAATATCTTGAATTCCAGTGCAGGACTGATAGTGATTAGGCACTAGAGCTGTGTGAAAAGTACCATGTGCAGTGCTGGGTGATCCCGATAGTCAAAGTACGTTGGCTATTGAAAGTAAAAGTTTGACTTTCACTCTGAGTTTTTTAGTATTATTTGTTCGGGCACTATGATTTTTTTATTTTATTTCTTTCTGCTAACATGACTGACAATCACTTTACAATCACAATGTCTCGGAAAAAAAGAACCAAGATACCGCGGAGTAAAACAGCAGCTTGAATGAGGTGCTGCCATTGTTTAACAAATGCTTTGTTTCTGAAGAGTTTTTCTGAAATTAGCCTGTGTTCTACCAGTGAAGATAAGCTGACAATGACATTTTCCCATAAACTGTTCTGTTTTCTGAATGTCCAAAATATTTCATAATCTCAGGAGAGAACCTTTACACATCTTACAATCATTAATATTGTCAGAGTGCAGGCAGTGTGCTAATAAAAACCTGATAAAGATTAAAAACGCATGTTGGTGAACCACAACATTTGTCAGCAGCCTTCTGCTGCCACGTATTGATGCTGTATTCATGAAGATAGAACGAAAGAACGTTTCAAAGAATAAAACTGCTGTGACAACAAGCGCTGGGGGGGGGGGGGAGGAGAAGGGCGATATGGGAAGAATAATGCAGCAGCACCACTACATGTGAGGGAAAAATAAAAAGATGTCATTGCATTTGCACAGGAGATGGTATCAGCAACTGGTTTTACATTTTGCTGCCTGCTGACTCCTGGCAGAGGGTGAGACCCCTCCATGCTTTCCCTGTGTGGCATTAGCATTTCCCAGGTAACAGCAATAGGACAAGAAGTAATGGCTTTTATTCATGCTGGGGAGGTTCCGGTTGGATATTAGGAAATATTTATTCTCAGAAAAAGTGATGAGGCATTGACACGGGCTGCCCAGGGACGTGGTGGACTTACCATCCATGGAGATGTTCAAGAGCTGTGTGGATGTGGCACTGAGGGACATGGTTAGTGGGCACGGTGGGAATGGGTTGGACTTGATGGTCTTAGAGGTCTTTCCAACCTTCATGATTCACTGATTTCTGAAATAATTCTTTTATATCAACAAATAACCACTCAGCATGAGGGTACCAGGCCACTATTGAGATATCAAAGTAATTATCTCCTCCAAGGAAGAGGAAATATCCATTAGTGGTCAGTCTATTCCAGAGTTCCTTTGGTATCAGTCAGCATTTATGGAGAAATAATTAGTTTGTTGTAGTACACAGAAGGGATGAATATGTCACTGTAAAACTAGAAATGAAGTTAAGAAGACAGAAAACATACCACCTACGTATTAGAATTCAGCTGCATCCTCACGTACCTATTTCTCTGGTGCCTTCCGCCAGGACAGCATCCAACCACAAAAGACGCAAGCTGACTGCAATGTGTTGTCATTCATCTAGAAATCCGACCAGCACGGGAGCGGCAGGGCTGATTCCCACATCTCCCAAGCTGGTCCATTCTCCTTTTGCGAGTTGCAGAACTCTGTAAACGATACGCCTGTTAAATTTGCTTGCGCCGCGCACAGCGGGAGGATCCGAGGACAGCCCCCGCGCTCTCACCACAGATCGCCGACCGCTCCGCGGATCTGCCAATACTCCCGCGGTCCGGTGGGTCGCCCTGCCCCCTGCCTCGGGGAGTGCTCGCGCGGCATGCTGGGATTTGTAGTCCCTTCCCCGCCCTTAACTTGCACGGAGCAACTCGGCGGAGGGGGGCGGCAAAACTACAACTCCCAGCGGCAGGAGGGGCGCGCCCTGAGCCCGCCCGGCGAAGGAGGGAGGTCCCGTTGGGTCGGGCCGCGTGGGCAGGGCTTCTCACTGCCTATCGCTCCCCCGCAGAAGTCGTTTGCCTTCGGCCCGGGAGCTCGGGCCGGTAGGACGAGCCCGGGGCGGACGGGAAGCATCGCTTGGGGCTCGGCGGCGCGAGCCCGTGGCGCTCGCGTGGGCAGGGGGAGGCGAGGGCTGAACGGGCCGCCGGCAACGGGCCCGCAGCGCGGGCGCTCGGCGTCCCTGCGAGCGCTCGGAGCGGGAGCCGCCTGCCCCCCGGCCGGGGAGGGGCGGCCTGAGGGCGGCGGGGTGCGCGCCGTGCGGTCCCTGCTCGCCGCTTCCCGCTGGAGATGAGGAGGCGGCCGCTGCTGCCTCCGGGTCTGGCTGCGGGGGATAAGCCTGGGTAAAGGCTCCACCGATATCTTTTAACGGAGGCGGGGGTGAAGCGAGGTCCCGGCGTGCGGAGGGGCTCTGGGCAGAGCGAGGGCCGGGGGCCGGGAGGATGGTAAGGGGCCGGCGGGGTCCCGGCACAGCTCTCGCCCTTCGCCCTTCTGCCGCTCAGCCCCGCCGCCTCCCCGCGTGCGCGGGACCGAGGCGGCGGTGGGGACCTGTTGTGCCGGGGGAGGCGGGGGCTGCGGCGGCCGGCGCCGCCCGGGGCGCGGGGCGGGGACGCGGTTCCGCTCGGCGCCGCGGCGGAGAGGGGGGGATGAGGCGCTGCCGCCCGGCTGCCCGCCGGCCGTCCGCCCGGCCCCGGCCCTGAGCCAGCGGCCGCCGCTCCTCCCCGGCCGGAGGGGAGAGCCGGGAGGGAGCTGCAGCTGGAGCCGCGCCGCGCGCGCTGCTTGCTTTTTCTTTCTTTAATGATTTGTTACGCGTGTCTCTTGGGGGAGCGTTTTAGCAATGGTCATTTTTAGCAGTGAAATCTGCTGCGCGAAGGAGGATTATACCAAATCGCTATGAATGATAGACTCGATTGCTAAACCTTGCTTTGGCCAATCTCCTGACCCGCGGAGAGAGCTCTCGGGGTATGCGTGGGAAGGAAGAAGCACCCTCCCCTTCGAAAATAAACTCGGAGAAGAAAAAGACTGATTTTTTTTATTTTATTTTATTTTATTTTTGGACAGCTGAGCTGCTTTATAATTTTTTTTTTTTTCTTTTTGGTCTCGTTTTGTCAAAATTTGCTTTACAAAGGATTCCCCTACATGATGGTTTTGTAACTGGTGGAGGAAGGAAGGACCCCTTGGAAGCGTTTGTGATATGACATCTTTGGTAACTGAAGAATTAACCCGTGTGTGCATAGTGCCCCTATTGCTGCTGTGGTAGCAGAACTCATTTTTTTTAAGTGGGACTGGAGGAGAGTGCTGCCTCGGTCAGCAGGAGCTTTGCACAGATTTATATCCCGTGTACTTCTTGGTGGGGTTCTCCCCACACAGTACTCTCTCTTGATGACACCTGGAGGTGGCAGTGGGCCCATGAAAGACTGTGAATACAGCCAGATCAGCACACACAGCTCTTCGTCTCCCATGGAGTCTCCCCATAAGAAAAAGAAGACAGCTCCCAAGAGAAAATGGGAGGTTTTTCCTGGAAGGAACAAATTCTTCTGCAGTGGGAGGATCATGATGGCTCGGCAGACTGGAGTCTTCTACCTGACTCTCGTGCTCATCCTGGTCACCAGCGGGCTGTTCTTTGCATTTGAGTAAGTGACATTAAAGTCTTCATATCTTCACACTTTGCCTGTTATTATTTATCTGCTGTCTGAAAGCAGTAAGAGGGTGTTTATCCAGATGTCATAGAGGGTGCCGGCTGACATTGGCTAACGTTGATTTATGTAACTGAAAATATCATCCGGTAAGATGTTGAGTGTTATGCGCTGCTGTTCAGCTCTGTGCAAAACTGAGGTTTGAGGCTGAGCGTGGTAGGGCTTTTGTGCTGCAGATTTCCAGCTCCTGTTGCAGGAGGAGTGTACAACAGGTTTGGGACTTTGAGACAAGAGATAGCTGCTTGTCCCTCATTTGTTCTTCTGAGAATCAAAGCTGACAGATGTAAAAATACCGGCCCATTGTCACAGAGCCAAGCACAAGAGAAGCAGTATCTTTTCGTTAGTTCATAAATGAGCCAGTTTTTATTTTTCCCTCTTGAAATCGTTTAACAACGTGGGGACAAGATTTCCAGATTAGTAGGAAAGAGGCAGAGCTGTACAATTCTATACCTACATAGCTGTCTGCCAGTAATAGTGTTACTTTCAGTGTATGATGGTAACAGCGGGCTATGAGTGTGATCTTATTGAAACTTACATTTGCTTTAGATTTTTAGATTTATTTTGTAAGCATACTTCTAGTGTCCTCTTAAGGCCTTTTTCTGTGAATCTTTAGGAATCCTTTCTGTCACTGTCAAGTGGATATGCAGCTATAGCAAATCCAAAATGCTGATTATTTTTTTTGTACTTATGTTGGGATAGCATAATTAAGGATGCACGATGATAAAGAATTAGGTACTTGATATAAGAAATGCCATTCATCTTTTTTTACTCTAAATCTCAGAATGCAAAGGTGCTCCACCTGCTAAAATACTTTACTACAAGAATTACTGAATTCCTTTTGTAGCGCTAGTCCTACTGCAACTTAAAACAACTGTAGCTTGTTTTGTGGTTTGTGGCTGAGAAAATAGAGGTAGGCTTGAACAGCCTAGATTACTATGTGGGGTCTTTTAAAGAAGATAGTGATGCTAGTGAACTCTAAATTGTGCTGGTTAAACAGACATCCGCTAAATGAACGAGTAACGTTTGAGAAGATAAAAATGCTCAGCATGTGACCAGGGGTTAAATATATATACATGAGCTTCACAGATGAATTGTCTTCTGTGGACTCCGGATGACTTTAGAGGGATTTGTTCATTGTAAATCTTCTGTAGACATTGTGGAACTTCTTGAGTATCCTCTGAGTAGTTGGAATAACATGGTTGATGTTGTGTCTGCTTATTGCAAGTGTGCTTACTTTCCTGTTTTTAAGGAGGTATCAAATGTACCTGCTGATGGTACTGCATCAGGAGGGGGTACTGCTCTCTCCTGTTTGGTGTGGTTGGGCCTCGTTTTGAAAACAAGGGCTGACACCTGCCTCTCTATGCAGTCTCATCATCATCAGTGAACCCTCTGAGGGGAAGTTCTGGACTTTGGCAAATACCAGAATGTAAATGTAGGATCGGAATTGTAATGCTTTATAGTCATGGTTGTAAAACTTATTTGTTAAGCAACAGCTTACAGTTTTTTTTTTTTTTTTTTTTTGATGTATTTTAAGAGTTGAATCTTTTAGAGATAAAGGTTCTCTGCAGTTGCATGACTCAGAACTGTTAATGCAGGAACAGCTGGTAGCTGATTTAATTACTGCTGCTGGTTATGCACTCTGCCAGAGTCAAACACCACCACTGTGTTTAGATTATGGCATTTTGGTATAAAATTGCTAGAAGTCTTGAAGCAAAGACAAATCTTCGGCTTCTTATAATTACGTAAAATTCTGTGCATGTATACTACTCTTTGGTCACTCTTGCATTACTTGCATTCTCATTTTAAGGAAAAGAGTAAAATGAAGAGAGTATGGCAATGATACTTAAAGACCAAGCCTACTTTATTATGACAAAAATTAAGTGGTACTTAGACTGAAATTATACCTGTCTTCTGAAGACTAAATCAAAAGCAACCACACCTACCACCACTCCAGCCTTAAGACTGAGAAGTGTTCAGCATGCTTGTGGTTTTTGAACTAAGGCAGGTTGATAACCTCATAGGAGAAAAAGGGAGCTTCTTGTTTAGGCAGTTATTGTTAGTGTTATTCTGAAGCAGTTTATAACTGTATCATTTGTTAGAGGTCTGAAGTTGCTGTTTAATGATAGGTTGAGAACATCTTGAGTTAAATGTCACTTCTGTTACTTGACTGATTGATTGGATTAGGAAGCTGCTACAGAATGGGATGGAAATGTTTCACTCCTTTGTGTACATATGGACGCAAGTGATTTCTAAACAGATGTATGCCTTGTTTATCTGAACTGTTAGGTGAAGCTGTCATTGAAGAGAAAGATATGGTGTATGTTTTTGTGATTGATCTTCTTGCTACTATTGGGAGAAATGATTTTGCTCACTTAGATTGTAGAAACTGGGAAATGCATACTAACTTCCAAGGTCATTCCCCATTTGCAGATAGAACAGGGGGAGGAGGAAGGAGATAAATATGACAGCTTAGTTCTGAGAAAGTGTTGTGCTGACACAAACACTTGATCCCTTATCCTTTTGGTTTCATTTGTTCCTCTAACATCGTTTTCTCATACCTCTTGTTTTACTCTGACACCCATTCATCCTGAGCTGCCTCATGCTTTTGACTCATCGCCAGGATAGAAATGCATTTCTCTGAATCAACAAATTGTAGCTCTCCAAAAGCAAACATACATAATACATTTTGACCTGTATAGCTTTTGACATGTAACCATGCCTTTGAAATTTTCATGTTTCTTCACGTTTGTGCTTCTGTGCTTTTTCCTGCTTGCTTTTTTTCCAAGCTCCTGCTTTGTTTTTATTCCTTTTTCTCAGTTGGTATTTCTCTCAAATATTCCAAGTATGTCACAACTTCTTCCTTTTATCATTTCACTCTTTCTCATTTTCAAAGAGGTAAGCCAGAATATGCTTTAAAAAAAAAACAAAACAAAACAAAAAGCAACAAAACAAACAAAAAAACCCCCAACAAATAAATAGAAATCTTCCAACACAATAAGCTTTCCATCTGCAAAAATATAATTGCTGCCCCTGGCCCCTTCCGAAGTAAGAGAATGCAAATAAGCAGTTTCATCTGTGTAATCTGATTATTAAATGTAACATGGTATACTGC